CTACTTCGAGTTTGGGCCCCAATGATAGGTGCCAGAGTCGTTCGAATCACCACGCACTTCGCCGCGCAATTTGCCGCGCGCATCCTCGGACGCACGTAAGTACCCATACCCCTCGTCGACAACTGCAACGTTTGTCAAAGATCGCGAGCCGTCCCGCCGTATGCGATGGCTGCGGTGTGGCCTAGGATTGTGTCCGACCTGACATTCGGTTTTCGTATTATTCAATGTACAACGTCCTTCCTGCAGAATTCTCATCTTTGAGAGCTGTGGTGAAAAGGAATCAAATAGCTTACATTTTTTACACGTCCTAGGATTTCGAATAAGGAATCTGCCTTGTGCATTTCCCTTGTTTGCCTACTAGCCAAATGGATGCCAACTTTTACCTCAATGATGTCATGAGGTGCTAGGTCGGATGATTCAGTCTGCTGGGAATTTTTTTCAATATTAGTTTCAGGCCCGTTCGTGCCTTCAATTCCGCTTGTTTACCAGTTCTCTACTTTTTATAGTCAGAAGAGAATCATTTTTTGCGGCGCTCCATTGTGGTAGGATCATCAATGATATGCAGGAATTCTGCATCCTGAGCTGCATAGCAGTTTATCACGGATGATGCAACCATCTTTCACTACATACAATGCCAATACTACTACTTACTATCCCATCCTACTATTTCCGGCTTCAGTTCCTTCCGCTAAGCACGTTTCAGTAAAGAATGCGTTGCGTATGATCCAACAATTGTCATATTCAGTGTTCATTGTTGTTTTTTATGACGGCCTGGCTAGTGTTTTACACTTTTAGGTTCGAAGTGGGCTCATCATTGTCACAAACAAACGAGATAATCAGAACATAAAAGTTTTATTGCGATATTTCATTGACTGAGCTTGAAGTTGAAATTGACACTACCTTCACTGCTTCCTTTGCTACATGTGTATACAACGTCATCTTCATTTAGCTGACTATCGACAGCTACCTGTAAAATTAGATTAGTACATTAGTAGAGTCCCGGCTTCCATATTAACGAGAAGCAAATGAAGTTGAAGCAAAATCAAGGAAGAGAGAGATAGACCAATTCTGAAGAAAATAGACACGGAATGATTGATTTTTGTCAAGAGTCTCTGTGGTTTCTTGTGAGAAATAGGTGATTTGCCTACCTCAGTGCCTTTTGGTGTTACACATGCAATGATTGATGTGCTCCAACCTCCCCTGCTACCAAATGTGCATTTAAGCTTGAAACTGCCATCGATCTAAACGAATTTTCAATTAGTTCAACAAAGCTGCAATCATTTTCAAGATATATCATCGCTGAGAAAGCAGCCCTCATTGACCAAATCATGGAAAGTAGCCGTTGGACCAATTTCCTTCAACTCGAGCCTCGTCATCCTGGGAGGAAACAAAGTGGAATCGAGCAAACTGTTTGTTCAGAACAGGCTACATTGCAATTTTTGGGAATTGCCTCTTTTCATCAACCTTCCTCTCCTGGAAAGCCACCTTGCTTGTCCAAAGGTGCAGGAGACCAAGCACAAGGTCAAGGGACACTACATATCGCGTTGCGTACATAGTCAACTCCTTCAACGCTGTTGTTACAGCCAAGGAAAACTGAGTTGGTCTAAATAGGCAAATTTAAAATATCAAAACTTATTATGGAGAACGGTATCACCTAGCTTTTAGGCCATTTACGTGGATGGTTAACAGGTGAATTCAACTATATCCGGTCACAAACGGGGTATTAGATCGGGCCATTGAGCATCTTTCAATCACGTTTACTTTGCTATAAAACGTACAAGTATGGAGGAAGTTAAAATGATGGAGTAAGGGCACATCGCTAGAGATTGTAAGTAATAACAATCAATGAGGCCCATAAGAGGCACTGGAAAAGGCAATCAACTTTTTGGCTGGTGATATAGTGAATATGTATCAAGCAAAGCTCCTTCGCATAGCTACAATTACTTTAGAGCACTGGCAATTCTGTTTATGATATCAGAAAGCAAGATATACGACAGAATTTGCTTCCTCCTTCCAGGTTGTAGTGTATCACTGAGACTATCAAATGAAAACGTCGACATAACGCAAGGGAAATCTTCAAAGAGTCTGAGGAAGTAGTAAGAGCTGCTAGTGGTGACAGAGGGTTCCAAAAAGCAGTAGCCAATGAAAACATCTGTATTCGCCACATCTCTCACAGTGATACTTAGCCAATGAAAACATCTGTATTCGCCACATCTCTCACAGTGATACTATGACAAATGATGTTTGAAAAGTCAGCGTAGATGAGCGTCTACACTATCATGGTTGAGAGGTCGTCAGCAATTGAAGAAGGCCATGGAATGAGCTGTCAAAACCAATAACCAAGTAGCCGCGAAGGTTCCAAAGCATGCAGACTTTTATGAAACCGTAATCCAGACAGTGGAACCCAGCTCGGATGTCCTTAATTCAATCCAAAACTCTAAATACGGATCCAAACGTTAGGAGGTCCCAAATGAAGTCGAATACCAGTGCAAAGAGGGAATAACCAACATCCACAATACCTTTAATTTTTATTGGAAGAGCTCATGATCAACATATGTGAAGTTGAAGGAGATACTTTCAAAGGCCTGGAGCCAGTATCCTAATTTTTATAATCGTGAGGTAAATGTCAGCAGCTTATTCAACCTAATCCACAATGAAAGCCTTTCAAAAGTAGCCCTGATCAAGAGCGATAGTTAGTCCTTAGGTCTTCGCGTATTGGCTGGACTATCACGATTTCGATTAATGACTAATAACACCATGTATGAGCTAAGATGGTCGGTCCTGTGTGGTGCACTGTAACGCGGTCAAGCCGAACTTCAAGTTCTGACCATACTTGCACTCTCCCAGCATTCCACCGCTCCAGTCTCGGTGGATTGGTACAAGACTCATTCGAGGATAAAAGCACTGTGTAAGTTGTTCATTAAATGGACACCAAATTGTGTAGATTACATATGCATTTTAAAATAAAGGCGCTACATTTTTGAATGGCCGGAGGGGGATCTTGAGAAGGGAGTAAAACAACATTGAAAGCCTTCGGATTCAAACTAATAGAACAAACGGCAAAAACATGATTTTCACGAAACCAACCCACGTCTCTCCATCAGAATACGTTTTATCATTCCACACACAAGCGAGAGCAATTTCAAGGAGGGTGCAGATCAGAATCAGCTTCATAACCTAAACACTAATTTCCTGATGACAATAAATCAATACTATTCTGTTGTTTATTCTGCGAAAGTAAGATTTTCCAATTTCGTGGAGTATTACACCCAGTGAGCATTAATGACATTCTTCACTAATCTTTTTGCTTGATTAATTGCCAGCCGTATGGCCCGCCATACCTTCTCTGAACTTTTCATGCGATTCATTCACTACACTTCTTTGACTGACACCATACTGGGTACTGGTTTGGTCCTTAAGTTCCTTTCGCTTTTTGCTCAAATTCAAATTTTGAAAAGTCAATCAATGGAAAATCACTGATGCTTAGGTGCAGTTATAGAATAATCACTCGCCATCTGCACGCAATGGGCTCCGAAAAGGGTCTCAATGGGAATCTCACGCATTTGCTGTGTGCGAGCCAGCAGCACTGCTGTCTATCTGTGAAAGTCTTCTTTTTTCCAATAGGTAGGATTTTCTCAAGTCGATTATCAGGCCGTTTATGGGTCGTGGGTCTACTACGAAAGAGCACTCGACAAGACTTCTGTTTTTTTGTGGCTGTAAATAATAAGGCGTCACAGACACGTTTATACTCCAGCCGAACTTCGAAGAAAAATGTGGAACATTTCACAAAAAGTTTAAAGCCAAATATAATAGAAGAACAGGTAGCGTGGTGTCGATATGAAACATTAAGGATGATTTTTCTAGAGTGTACATGCACCTTATAAAGCAAAGAGTTGCACGAAACTTGTTCTTGGTTCCAGTAATAAACAGCTGAAAAACTGTAGTAAATCCAACATTGACTGTTGCTGATTTGATTTGTAGTTACAGTCAGGGTCACTGAAGACGAATCATATTTCAATAGCCTAATTGGTCAATTAAAACGACGTTTTTCAAGTTTCTGAGATCACAAACCTGCAGCTGCTGTGTTGGAGTCACGATCATGTAACAGAGAGGATGAGCGAACATGAAGACCCATATGAAAGTCTCAAATTGGATTTTGACTACCACTTCCGGATAGATGCCTGACACTATATGTGTTTTCAAACTTGACCATAGCAAATACTTTTTTTTTCAAAACAATTGTATGCGAATGCTTTCACTCTTACAGTTCGGAATAAGGAATTGCAAATTCTGCCGGGACAAAATGTCTTTGTGTAAAGCGCCAAAAAAACGTTTGCACCGTTGAACAGTTGAAGAAAGTGCAAAAAAGATGATTTCATCATAATCACTTCTTCACAACAGGTGTCAGATCAATAGCGCAGGCAAACCAGCTTTGCAGAAGTAATAAGAGTTATAATTATTAACCGAAATTTTCTTTGCTTAAAATACTTAATGGATACTCCACCCTTAACTCGCCGACCTTGTCGGTGGAGTAATGACTAAGGCAAAACCAGACTTCTCCTGGCAGAACATCAGCATGGAATACTTCTGATTACTCTTCACCGTCTTTGACAACACAATAAATTCGCTATGGGCTATAATCAAGATGAAGTAAACAAGCTGAACACTTTTCATTAATGAAGGGAGTTAGTAAAATTTAAAAGGAACCGTGCTCGTTGCCGGAAGAACAATTTAGTTAAGATTAGGGTTAGAATTGCATGAGACCTGCTAATTGAAGTGAGGTCTATGACATTATCCAGAGTTGTTCATGTGTATACTAGACTTTCATGCGGGAAGATAGTTTCGACTTGCTTGGCCGCAGTCCACGTTTTTCTAAGGGTTCAACAAAGTTCTTTTTTCTGCACAGCTCGTCTTTTTCGATATGCCTTTCATGCTGATTCATCATACAGGTCTACTGCGAATGTATGAACTGAATTAGCACGAAAGGCATATCGCAAAAGACAAGCTGTGCAAAACAAACTGTCAGATCATAGTGGAAATGCCTTCAGTTTCTCACTATGGAGTAATGTTTGATCGTAACTCAGGCGCGCACTTCGGCCCTGCCGGGCGATCGCGCGACNCCGTGGATGGTCCCGCGCGATCAGTCAAGTGACCAGTCGAGCGACCAGTCGCTAGCGACTGGCGACCAGTCGCGCGACTATGAAAGATGCCAATGAGTGAACGCCACGTGGATATGCTTAGCCACGGACTCTGGCTGCTTGCCATCAAGCGACGATTGCATAATCATTCTATTCCATCGTCTGGTCACCTTCGCTGGCGCAGCAACTGAACGTCTCCGTTCTCTTGTTCGTACTCGACGTCAACACCACAGGCACAGTTCCAGAGGGTTTCCGATGCACCATTATTGCCCTCTACTGTTGGTGCAACTACTGTCGAAATTATCCTTACACAAAAAGAAGTTCGGAGGAGTGGTTCGCAACCAAGGATGAAGCAAGGAACAGCAGTACTGCAAGGAGTTTGGGAGTAGCAGATGGCCCCGACTAGGAGTGACCAGGATCGCACCCGCACCCATCCGTAGGTTCAGTGTGGTTTTAATGTAAATACATTTTTTTACATTCTTCCCCATAGTATTTATTGTAATCATAGTCAACTACATTTACTCACGTTCATCGTAACATTTATTCCCTTTATGTCCACATACGTAATTGCTCATAAACTTATGTATTTAGTTTATCCATGTGTGCGTAGCGCACAATCGGTGTTGTTTTATAGATATCTTGGAGATGTCCTATGCGCATTGACATATTAGTGGATTGTAAGCTATTGAAAGACCACGCGTCCAACACCTTGAGGGAGCTCGGCACTGGTCGGATCACCCCCTAGCGTACTGCGAAGGCAGTACCATCCCGTAGAGGGACGTTAGGGCACTGGGACGGCCTATACCTCCGTGTATCAGATGGTTACGAGCATCAGTGAGCATTCAGAAGACCATGATCGCCTCAATCGTGCTGCTTGGGTCGCCCTGTCGAGCAACCACCTGTGTGGGGAGGCCTCAGTGGGTCGGGTTTAACGGCGCGAAAGGGCTCCTGAACTTCTTTCCTCTATGCACACTTTCATGAAAAAGTACGTTTTGCAAACCGAGAATGCCAGTATAGAGTCCAACCTGATATCAAGGATTGAAAAACGCATTTTGTTCCTGCAAAGCTCCTGCTTATTGTCTTTGTTCAAATCATATAATTGAAGTAAGGTCTAGTCATAGGAGATGGTCACGTGGCAGAAAGCGCTGAGCCTAAACTACATCACATATTTGCCCTTGTTGATACTACATCATCTTTCTGAAAATAAAGCAGCAACTAAGGCCCGTATGCATAACGCCCAGGGTAGGGAAGGGGAGAGTCTCCCCAAGGAAATGTTTGCCGAGGCGCGAGTGTTCAAATGGTGTTTTTCCCTTTGTTCTGTGTCAAGATAGTTGCAATGGAGCTAAGTATTTTCCTATAAACAGGAAGAATCGATAGCCCTTGGTAATCATGTGATGTTTGTCTCTGCGACCTTACCTTAGCGAGAGCTCAGAGAAGCGCGACCCCATTGACCCTACCCTGGGAGGGGGATGAACGTACCCCTAAAATTGCGCTGGGGCGCCCATGGTCATGTAAACCATTACCCCGCTATTCACTACATTATTAGACTGAGCGCTTATTCCTCTGATTTCTGCTGCCGAATTCGTCGAGTATGGCTCTGATTTTATTCTAATCCTGCAACCAACTACAAATTTATTTATATTGCTGAATTCGTTGCTATTAAG